GCAATTGTTATCATTTCTCATAACAAAGTTCCTAAAACATATAAGTTCTGGGCTGAAATCTAAGTAAATGTACATCTGGTTTGCAATTTTTTAAATGGCTGTACATTTCAAACCCCAGAAAAAGCAGGCTGCAGATAGCTGTTTATTACAAATGACTTCCACCTCCTCCACAGCCCTCAAAGGCAAACTATAAAGCTGTGTGCAAAGCCAGACAATCTGGGCACCCAGCCATAAACCATCACTGCTGCAGCACAGATAACTGCTCTCGCTCTCAGCCATCCCTGGCTGCAAACCCACGGGGAAGAGCTCCAGAAACCAGACCTCAGCACCGTCAGGCCTTCTACTATTTTATGAACTTGAATTACAACTACGTTCAGGACCTCAGTGCTGAAAAATTACAGCGCTGATTCACACCCGGGTTGAGACCAACACTCACTCGGATTTGCTTGGTACCCTGAACCTTGAGATGCAAGAACAGCCAGTTATTTTACAGCTGCCTCCAGTGACAGAAGCCTTTTTATTGGGAGGAAGAGACAGACATGCTACTCTCTTCAAAAAGAAAAAAAAAAAGACAGAAGAATCAGATGCATATTTGAGAGTAGTGCTGCATTTTCCAGCATCTTTGACACGACCTCAAAGAGCAGAGTGAGTGTTCTGTGCCAGAACAGGCAGTTTGCTCATGATCAAACCCACACATTTGTATCTTGGGCGGGAGATTTTAAAACATGTTAGTGACAAGGTCGGAAGGAGCACAAATGAAGTTTTGGAAAACGCAGTTGTAACTGTATTGGGGAATCCGCAGTGAAGTTAACCATGATTAAGTAATGATAAAATAAGCTAAACCTAAGTACGTCTCCTTCTGGCATTTAAGATGTACAACTCAGCCATGCTTTTGGTTCACAATTTTTCCAACTAGCACGGATTCCTAAAGGGAGATCAAATAATGCTTTGATTCCTCTGCTTTCATACATTAAGAATAACCATCTTTCATTTTACCAACAGCATTTGTGGAGAGTGAAGTGACGGCACAGAGCACATAGATCATTTAGTAATGCAATTTACTGTCACTTCTAAATCATCCCCCCATTCAATAAAGTATACTTCTCTTCTAAACACTATTTGCCCTGGCTGATATCTTCATAATACAGCTGAAAACCTCAAGCCATTATCACTAGAAGGCATCAGCTGATCCTAAATTGGCTAGACTGCAGCGTCACAGGCATTTAAGAGGTTTCCTTATCATTCATCTTTAATACTGAGGGATCGACACACTCCTACCTGCAGCTTCTAGGCCAAGGGGAAACCTTCTAATGGTATTACCATTATCTTGTAATCTGAATTTTAAACAATTAAAACAATAGTACTTTTGTGTTGTAGGTCTCTACTGTTACCAAAGATGATACATATTTTATCAGTTGTCATATTTAAAGTCTTACATAAAACACTGGTTTTTTTTTAAAGCAGAAATATGCACTCTGCATTGAAGCTTCTGAACCTCTAAAGAGAAGCAGCACCGTAACAATGCACTTAAATTTAAACCATCAAGAGAGACCATTTGGTTTACTCAGAAAAGGTTTGGTCATTTTATTTTAAATCTGCAGTCCTTTTTAGTCAATACGATCTGGCAATTCTTTCCAAATGAAAGCCTCTTTTTACTGAAGCAGGGGATGGCTCCACCCCTGACCTCCTCCTTCAGCTTGTTTTGGAAAGGGGCCAGATGACAGCATTTGGAAAAGCGCATGTTTATCTCGGCGAGGCCAGCTGCTAAGTTAACATATTACCCGTTCCCACATCCCCCGCTCTTGGTTAAGTCTTCACAGCTAAAACTGAAAGTAAACGCTGCCATTGGGCTTTTAATAAATGTAACATGAAAGAGAAAAGGAGTCTCCATGGCACGGAGCACTGAAGGGGCTGCAGAGGTCTAGGTCATTTCGAGTGAACAGCAGGCAGTGACTCTGTCAATAAAATTCCTGGCCTTTCTCAATGAAGGGAATGAAAAACTGAAAAATAAGCGGTTTTGCTTCTAGAATAATTTAAAGCTATGCTCTCTTATGAGACTGCCACTCAGCAACAGTTTGCTTGACTACACAAGGAGATTATAAACCCCTGCTTGACAAAACCTTTCACTCTATCTTGTTTTATTGTTAGTCTATACTTGGCAAGGTATGGACATGGGAGCTTTGAGAACTTCAACAAAGACTCTTCAGATTAAAGGTAGTCTTACGCCCAATTATGTTTTTCTCATTTTAAGGAAATTCCATCTCATTATTTTCAAAGTCTTAAAAACCTCTTTCAAGCAAAAAGAGTACAGAATTACCTTACTTGCCACAAACATCAGTGAAAGATCTCAACTTATCAAAAGGAGAATGTGTAATCTTATTAGAAAATATAAATCCTGGAGAAGAAACCAGAAATTAAGGCGGAGGTGGGGTTTTCATTGATCCCAGCAAGGTCCAGCAATGGGCAAACCCATCCACCCAGAGGTGATCAGAGACAGATTTTGGAGGAAGCCAAGGTGCCATAGCTGATGGTGAACCTCCAAGTCCCCAAATGGTTTTTAGCCCAAGGGCAGTGCCCCAGAGCCAACTCCACTCTGCTGGGGCCAGGGGGAAATGGCACAGCCAAGGCTGCCCACAAGGACATTCCCAGGCACTGGGACTGACAGCTCCAAAATGATCCATGTGCTGCAAAGCTGATGGACAGCACACACAAACCACCCGTGTGCAACACAACAGCTCTTAGTCTGATGGACACAGACTCAAACCTGTCAATGTGGGAATCCACACACAGAGCACGAGCATTCATATATTATTTTATTGAGAGCTCCTCTGCAATCCAGAGGAGCTCTCAACAAAAAAGGTTTGTCTGTCTTGTTTCTTTCATTGCTACGAACAAAACCTTTAGACAAAAGTAGAAAATATTGCCTAAAATTAGCCCCTGCTGCCACCCATCCCTCCCGGCCTGCAGCAGTTTTCCCCAGGGCAGCACCTGTTCTCGGGGGCCGGACTGCAATGAACCTTCCTCATCTCGGGAAGCCAGGCAGATCACTTCCAGACAGAAATGATCCGTTCCCCTTTGAAGATAAGGACAAAGCCACACACGGCATTACTGCACTACTGCTGATGCCCTTAAGCATTCATTTTCCCTAAAAGAAAAGTTGAAAATAATCTGATTTACTACAGTTTGTTTTTTTTGTTTTGTTTTGTTTTCACAGGCTTGGAAGCAGCCAGGTTAGGTTATCCACCAGCAATCCCAGCCAAAAAGCACCACTGGGCTCCCCAGAGCTTCCAGAGGCTGGAGCAGCTTCCTCACTGGGTATCCAGGGCTGCCATTGATGCTTTCACGTTCTGGAAAGAATTCCAGAAGCCACAGCAGGGACGCCAGCGCATCCGGGGGCTGTTGCTCTGCACACCATTTTGAGCTCACAAATAACACAGAGGAGCAGCCAGCCAGGCATCCCAGGGATTCCTGAACCCCAGAAACTCTGTGATGCGCTGAGCAAGTCACCTCCTATTTCCTTGGAAAACACCAGGGGAAGCAGTGAGAACCCGTGTGTAAATTTCCACTATCTTCTCGAAGTTACTTTTTTTTTTTTTAATGTAATATCCGAGAGGAAACTCCATTTAAATTCTCAGTCGTCGGGGAATCCAAAAAAAACCCCAAAAACCCAGCCACCGCAGGGAAGGAGGGCAGGATTTGAAGCCATGCCCGGCTCCCCCGGTGCATCCAGCAGCAGTGCAGATGTTCTCCTGCTCCTCCGCTCTGGCATTGTCCTCAGGTCCACAGCACCACCGACACCCACCCGATTTAAAGCTCTGCACCACCGGCCAGCCCACTAACAGCGGGATTTATTGGAATTTTAATTACCTTAACCGGCCTAATGTCCACAGCAAATTTCTGTACATAAATTAGCATAATTCGCCAGATACATACATATGCAAACGAGAGGCAAAAAATATGCAACAGACACGGGTATGACGTCCCAAAGATTATTTCTAAATTTAAACTGGCTGTTAGAATAATTGAATAAATCTCTTCTCGCAGATACAATCGAGTTGTAGCAGAAAATAAACTAGTCACAAAGACCTGCAGTATTATTTTTAATGGGAAAAGAGAGGGGGAAAACCCAATTGAGTTCAATAAATCCCATAATTGAACCTTCAACTAATTACATATTAAGAAGATTAACCTTTGACACAAACTTGTGATACAAACAAAGAAGCCTCGAACAATTAATAAACTTCCAGTGTTTCAAGATTTCTCAGGTTAACAACTGAGCCCTCCCCATTTTCCTCCCCTTCTGCGTCGCAGTTAAAGGAATAAACTCTGTTTAATATTCTCTCTCCCCCTGGACATTCCAGGTTTAGACGAAGATCTCTCTGTGAATACTCAGGAGAAAATTACTGCGGATCCTCACAATCTCATTACGCGGGGGAGGAAAAGAGGAAAAATAACCCAAAGCCAGATATTTGAACTTTTAAGAGAAAGCAGCCATGAAGGACAAAGCTGGAGCTCGTGTGCTCGCCCACAGGGCAGCACTGCTGGCCATGCCCACAATTTTCCAGCCCTGGGATCATTTCCAAGCCGCTGTGCGATAATTTTCACACGTGTAAGTTCTAAAGCCAGAGCACACGGCAGTGCCTTGCAGCAGAAGCCGCCTTCGTGTCATGTCTGAATGGCACAACACGCTCGCAAATGGCACTTTCTGCTGGCTGTGCGGGGAGAAACAGCGATTCCGGACACAGAAAAAACACCGAATTTATTCTACTGTTAAAAAAAAATCCGGAGGTTGCTCGTATTTTTTTTTTAATCGTATAAAAATAAAAGGGATTTTGAAATGTTTTGGGGTGTTTCTTGCTTCGCTGACTAATGAGCGGTTTAAAAATAATAATAATCTAGTTTAGACTTGTGAAAAAGAAGGAATGTAAGGCTTTTGCAGGTCTGTTCCTCTGCTAACTTCTACCGTGCCCGGATTAAGAGAGGCTCTTACCCCTTCTTACCTTTTAGTCTTTTCTTTATGGGGCTCTTTGGCAGCTTTCGATTCAGTCTTGCTGTAAGGAAACAAGTGAGTATTTTGTCTACCGTGTAGGGGTCTTTCTGACGTGTTCCTTTCTTATTTTTAATGCTTCTGGTTTGTTTTTTTTTTAAGATCTTTTGTAAGTGTACCCGTAATTTCACGAATATGAATACGAAAAAAATCTCACACGGCCAAAAAAATTAAGTTTTTTTGTTGTTGTTGTCGTCGTTTGTTTACCCCCCTCAGGGAAAAAAAAAGTCTGCCACACAGGAGATGAAAAAAACCCAACAGATCAACAGGAAAACACTATCCAAGTAGAAAAGCAAAGAGCTTCAGTGTTATCCAGCCCAGAGGAGAAGTGCAGCAAAAGCAGGTCCAATTCCAAAACAAGCTTTTGATTTCCAGTGAAGCAAAATAATAAAAAAAAAAAAAGACAAAAAATAACCAAGACCAAGAAACCAAGACAAAATACACGTTCAAGTCCCCAGCTAAATTTCTGCACGAGTGTGTCTTAAATACAAGTTTGCTTTCATGTGTTGCAGCAAAACCCACGGAAAGCCAGGATTTGGAGTTGATCGGGATGAGTTCTCGTGTGTGTGCCTTGATGGGTTCTCAGTCCACATGGAGGAGCATCTGAGGGTTTTTCAAAAAGTGCAAATCAAAAACGAGAAACTGGGATCCAGACAAGAGTTTTAAGATGGATCCCCCCTTCAAAATAAAAGGAGGAGGGGGTGGAAAAATTAAAAAAAAAAATAAAAATAAGAACTGAACCACGAGCGCGGAGGCACGGGGGGATGCGGAGTCTCACATGGGGCTGCGGGCAGGAGGAGGATCCCGCCGGGAGCTCCGGGGGGCGGAGGATCCAGCGGTGTCTCTGCCAGGGGAGGAGGGTCCGCGGCTCCGCAGGGACCCCGCGGGCGATCCGGGGCGGGAGGAGGATCCGGCAGCCGCTCCCGCAGGAAGGAGCGAGCGCGGGGAGGGGATCCGGGGAGGAGGATCCAGCAGAGTCTCTCACGGAGGGAGGAGGGAGCGGGGAAACCCGACAGTCTGTGTGCCCGGCTCGCAGCGGGGCGATCCCGCCGCTCTCTCCGCAGGGATCCGGCGGGCAGCGGCGCAGCCGAGGCGGCGGCGTGTCCCCGGGGAGCCGCAGCAGCGCCTCGGGCAGGGTCGCTCGGTCCGCCGGGGTGCTGAGGGGGAGCGGCGGGGTTGGGGTGGGGGGTGCGCAGCGCCGCTCGCCGTCTCTCCCGCTCGCTCTTTCGCCTCGTCCGACTCGCAGGGCAGGCGGTGCCGGGCTCAGTGCTGCCGCGCCGGTCCCCCGCTCCTCCGCGCCGCCGCCGGTGCCGCCCTGGGGAGCAGACCCGCGCTCGGGCGCGCGCGCCCTCACACCGCCGCCGCGCGCGCTCCCGCCCGCGCCCCGCTGTGGGGACGGGGGCTGTGGGGCTGTGAACCCCCCAAACCCAGCCCAGAGCGGCGCATTGGGGTCACCCCCAGCCCGGCCCGTGCTTTCACACACACACGCACACACACACACGCACACATGGCTCCGCTTGTGCCAACGGCGATTCACCCCTCCCTCGCACAACCTCCCTCACCGTGTCGCCCCGAAAGAGGTGTAGAGGGGCTGTGTGCCCCCGGAAGGGCCGCGGAAGGGTTTCAGGTGTGTGCGCGCACACGCACAGCCGTGCATGTGGGTGTGGGAGCGCTCAGCCCTCCGTCGCACACCGCCGCGGAGAGCTGAGGGGGGACGGGAGAGCTGTGCCCCCCCAAAAGGCGCCGAGGGGCTTCACCGCCACCCCCGTGCAAATGGCAGTCACACCCACACACACACACACCGGCAAACGGCGATTCACCACCTACAACCCCCGGCAACGGGGGATCAGGAGAGCTGAACCCCCCCAAGGTGATAAAGGGGTGCAGAGGGGCTCCCCCCACCCCCTGCCGATGGGGGTCGGTGCTTTCCCCCCTCTTCGCACACCCCGCGGGCTGGGGGCTCTGCAGGGGTGGAAAAGGGGGGGTTGCACACATTCCTGCTGCACCCCGAGCTGCCGAGACCCCCCCTTTGTGAGGGGTGTGAGCACACACAGGGACACAGCGGGGTCACACCCTCGGGTACCCCCGACACGGCCCAGCCCTCCAGGACCCCTCCCCACACGGCCCTGGCCATCGCAGGGGATCCCCCCAAAAACAATCCCGGTGTTTGAAATGCACCCGTGGCTCAGCAAGCCCGGGGAGCTGGGAAAGGGAGATGGAAATGTCACGTTTCGGAGCGGCAGCGCTTGACTTGTCCCCCACAATAACCACATTAACTGCTCCTGTCAGGGGAAAGCCAGGATCTGGTCTCAAAATACCGCGGGAAGATTGGAATGCGAAAAATGAGTCATTTTTTTCTGCTAAAAATTGTTGTGTCTGGGTCTTTCAGCAGATCTTCTCCGGTTCTCTCTCCTCTCCTGTTTCCTCTCCTGCTTCTGCAGCGAACCTTTGGGGAACTGCAGGGAAATCCAGAGCCTGAATCTTGGTTTGTTCCACCAAAACCTGAATGGAGCAGGGGTCACAGAGCAGGGCTGTTGCTGCTGCCGGGGGATTTGGGGGCAAAGAAGCACATCCCACCAGGATTCCCGTTGGCATTTGTGGTGCCAGCCCCAAAGCCAGCCTGTGCCAGCCCCTGGGCAAGCGACACCAGGAGCCCGGAGCCCCTTGACCACTGGAGGGAGCCCATATTGTGCCAGAATGCAACAGAAACACGACGGGGAAGACAAAAAAAAATACTAAAATATGAAATATCAGATCATTGTAGTCAGAACAAAGTGTCTTCTCCAGGTCAGACCGTGATCTATAGCAATGCAAAATGTTATAAAAATCAGATTTAAATGTCCCATTGTACTTCATCAGCACAAAGAAGAGAAAGAATTATTAAGAACAAGGCTCTTTTTTTTCCCCCGCTCTTATTTTGAATGTGAGTCTGGCACCTTTCACCGGGAGTGAATTCATACGCCAGGATGGTGACAGACCTGGTTTGGAGGGAAAATGCCCTTGTGTCATCCCAGGGGCCAGCTGAGCTTCCCCTCACTCTCCTTCCTTAAATGTAGGTCAGCACCTATAGACCCCTTCCCAACCCACCCCAGAGCTGCAGCAGCTCACCACTGCTGCTTTCCAAGGACATTGGGAAAGGAGATTCCTTGTGGAAAGGAGATTTCTTTCCTTTTGGAAAGGCGATTTCTTCTGTTCTGCCTCTCTCACCCCAGAGAGGCCACGTGCCATGTTTAAGGCACAACACGCACCTACAGGAGGCTGCCCTGCACCAAAAACTCTGCGTGGCAATCGTGCCCAGGAATGTTCCTGGTCCTCTAAATTCCATCTTGTGAACGTTGAAATATTTGTAATTCAATACACACTTTTAGCACACAAATATTTCTGGCTTCGCAGAGTGATGCCAAGTTGCTGGAGACCCTGAAATGTCAAAATGGAATAAAACTGAAAGTGATTTGTGTACTAATCTGTTTTCTTGGCCCTGGAGAAATTACCGTCAAAAGCATGATATAACCACAGCCCCACAGACACAGAGAGCCCGTTGTGTTTGACACCCCTGTTCTAAAATACTGTTCTTAATGGATAAAAGCACATTCTAGTAAACTTTTCCTATCTTACCTGAGCTCTTTACCATTGAATACAGGGTTTTATCTGATGCAATTTTGATTTTTTCCCTCCCTACTTTGGTCTCCCACTGGGGTTTTGCCCTCCCGCTCCCCGGTTGTTCTCCTTGGGGGCTCACACAGATCCAGGTGGGTTTTCCACCCCAGCACCAGCACCTGAGGCTCTGTAGCAGCTGGTGGCTGCTGTCACCACATGGCACATCTGTCCCCTGATTGCCCTGAGCTGACAGGACCCTGGCAGGGCACAGGCTTCTCCTTGAGCTGCGTTTTTCCAGAGCCATCACTGCTCCCTCAGAGTGGCTTTTGTGACCAGAGGTGAGCTGGGGTGAAGGGGACACCAAGGGACAGCTGACCCAGAGGCTCAGTGCTCAAAGCTCCACTGCTGCCTTGTGAAGCTCCTGCCCAGTCTGCTGTGTGTCAGGGGAGGGCTGTGACCAGAGTGTCCCCAGGAGGGTTGGGTGGGTGGCTGTGAGCACAGGCACTCACACAGATACTGCTTTTTTCCTCTGCTGAGAGTGACAAAGCCAAGCTAAGCAAAGGTCTTCACACACTCAAGGCTGTGTTGGGGGGGCTCAACCACACCCAGGGCAAATATTCCTCCAGCATAGACTTTACATCTCTTGCTTGGTTTTGTATCACCCAACCGAGCACAAAATCATCACCAAGCACTTCTCACCCAGCAATAAGGAGCACACACAAAATTAAAGTCAAAGCCCAAGCACTAGCTGTGCTCCAGTGACACAAACAACCCCATTCCTTAGGGACAATCCAGTCTCTGGTGCTGAACAGGATTTCCCAGAGCCCACACAACATGAAGCTACAGCTCCAAGGCTCTCCCTTGTCTGATGCTCAGAGGTTGGATGGGCAGGATCATTCAGGGAAGCCAGGATCCAGCACACCACAGGCTCTTCCCAAGTTTTCCAAGGAAAATATGAACGTGCAAGATGGGGTCCTTCTGAAGGATGCAGGCACATCCCTCCCTGGCCACCCTGCCACAAATGGTGTCTTTAGGGTGAGCACTTAAATAGAATCACAGAATTCTTAAACTGGAAAATACCTCAAAGGTCTTTGATTCAACTGTATGGAACTTATACATATTTTTTAATTGGAAAAACTCACTTTCATAACTTATGTTTCTCCACGTTTTCCTCCCACTTGCTGGGACCATGCCCTGTGTGACACCTCCACATCAGGGTGGGTGTACCCAGCTATGAAATGTTCTCTCCATGGCACTGGCCCAAAGCAGAAAGGGCTCCTGAAAACCTGGTGCCCCACGTTCCTGCTGATGTCTGGCACAGACATTTCACATCAGCAAACCCACTGTGGTGAGCATCATCACAGGAGTGTGACAGTTCACCTTTTACCCTGCGCTGGATGAGCTGCTTCCCCTTTTTTTTGTGTAACAACCAAACACTTGAAGCATTTGCCCAGAAAGCACAACATCTGGATTCAATTCCCTCCCCAACCCGAGAGTCTCCAACCTGTATTTCCCACGAGACAGATGTAGCACGATGCTAAACAGCAATCTGGCAGGGGGGAAAACATGGTATTTTTTATTCTTGCTCTCCAAGCAGAGCTATTGTACAAACAGGAACACAAGTGTCCTGAGGCCAAAAAGCGAGCAAGAAGCACATGACTCCCTACCCTGCCTGCCACAGCAGCAGTGATAACGTGTTCTGCTTATTATCAATAGCTGTTTTACAATAAATGCATAATCTGGCCTGAACAGAGGGCTCAGAGCCCAGGGTTTGCTCACCCCATAGCTCACCCCATAGCTTATTCTGGGGGAGAGGAAGCAATGGTGTAGATGTTGGAACCTTTGAATGTGGCACCTTGGGTTAAGTCTCTAGGCTGGAGGAATGTGCAAAGATGTAAATTTCCCATTGTGCTTTGAGAATAAAAGTATTGCCATTAATCAGCTGCCCCTCCTCTGTTTTTTAGGTCATCACTTGTTAGTACAAGGGGGCTGGAACAAGAGTGTTCCAGTGGCACAAACAGTGCTCATCATCCAGGCACGGCTGCAAATGTTACAGAAAACTCTGGTTTTGCACAGAAAACCCTTGCTGAGCATGTGAACCCCCAGTGAAATACTGGAGTTGTCACCTCTGGCACTGACAGGGGCACCAAGCCAAGTGTTTGTAATAAAAATCCTGCAGCAGAAAGGGAAAAAAACCCTGATTACCCAACATTTCAATGAACTGGGAGGAAGCTGCCAGTGCTTCTTTGCTGAAAAGAAGCCTTTCCAAAAAGGTTTTTCCAAGTCTCCTTCAGCTCGTAGATTTTTATCTTCACCCCACACAGAGCCTCCTGCACATATGGGAAGCACTGGAGCTGTTTTCATGATGTACTCAAAAATCAAGGTGCTTTTGGTTTTCCTACCTGTTTGCAAGTCTCTCACCCCAATGGAATAAAAGCAGAGTTGGGGGCAAGCCATAAAAAGGTTAATTTGCTGTATACACCAGTCTGACCTTTTTTTGGCAGCTCAAACAGCTGCACCCAAGCACCTAAGGGATGAAAATTCTTCAGAAACCAGGGCTAGGGAGAACACCTTCTAGCACCCCACCAGCCATTAAAGCAGTGGTGAAAGAACTTGCAAATACTAAAGTTAAAAAATAAACCTTGGGCCAGGCACTGGTTTGGGCTGTGGCAGCCCAACACCATTTCCTCAGGACAAACCAGCCTTTGGTGGGGTTTTACAACAGGACT